GACCAATATATTCAAATCCTAAGGGAGGAGGATATAATGGTTGGTATTTCTAACTATCTTTTATCTACTGCAGGTGACACTAAGATGCTTAAGACACTCCATGAGGCAACTTTCGAGATAATTGATGCTAAGGAACAAAAACAGATAAATAAGCGAGCACAACAACAGAGACTAATGGCATTGGCAACCCAACCAGCATGGGGTGAAAGCGTTCTTTCAGTTCATTGGATATACAACCAGCATGGAGCAGAAGTGTTTAATATCACACGCATGGTTCAGTTAAAAGCAGGATATTGGAATATAAAAATGATTCCTACTCATTTCGAGCACAACATGAAGCAAATGGCATTGGAAACACAACTAGCATGTGCAGCAAATAATTTTTCGAGTAAAGCAGGCAACAAAGGCCAATGTGTTTTATTTAGCATGCTTCAATCCACTTTCAGATTAAATAATCTTTTAATATGCACACAAAGTTTAATGGGGAAGGCCTGACAGACAACACATGCTGGTGAGCAAAGGAATCAAATGAAAAAGTGGAATGCACATGAAAATTTATCTAGGATACATAAAAGCATGCAATATTCTAGGAAGAAGGTACTATGGGATATATTTCTTTATGATGCAGCTGTAGGTGGAGCTCACGTGCTTTCCAACACAAAGCTGTCTCCTTTAATCTGCTCAATGGACGAAGAAATAGGAACGCATCAAGGGGAAAGAAGGTGCAACTGCCATGTACGATAATGTTTGTCAAACTTCACGAGATCAACATGTGGGAGAGATTCAAATATTATGCTGAATTTGTGCGAGAGACGTACACTTTTTGGAGTGGAATTTACAGCAAGAACAACAAGCATATTGCTACAGAAGATTGACATTAACAGCATTAATGCACGCGCGAAGGTAATTAAACACAGCAACTGAAAATGCTAAGGGACAAAGAGCACGCAATTCTGAATATTTTAATGTGCACACATGGTTTAATGTGAAAGGCATGGCAGACAACACATGTTGTTGAGCATAGGGATCTTCACTCTTCGGCTTCAGCGCTGTCATGCAACAAGAACGAAGCAGATGTCTGTTGCTTCAAGAACAGACGTCGAGTACAAAATAGATGGCATGCAAGCTTAATGCTGTGCACTGGTTTCCCAACAGCATGTGGAACCTCAAGAACGTATGCTGGAAACGTATTAAAACATGGAGGAACGCAAATGACATACAAAAGTACATCGGAGGATACAAAATGACACTTGCAAATGGAGTGCACGCAATTAATAGAAGGAACGTTGCATTATGCCTTTCAAATGCACATTCGGGGATGCTGAATTATATTACAAAGTTTAATAGCATTAATATGATATCAATGTTGAGTGCATCACTCAATTTTGATAATAGGATATTTGTTAAGTTCAAACTCTATTTCAATCAGTTAGTAGGATATCATGACGTTGTATTTCGTATTTTTAATGATTATATATAAAACTAACCCTAGGCAATTGCCTAGCGGACTAAAAAAAAAAATACTGACTCTCTCCTATGCCAACACACAACAAATTATTTAAAACTCCATATGATTAACTACTGCTTTTATCCCAAGAAAATTGACAGAATTCAGATTACATTATATAATCACAGGGCCGGGAGTATTGTTTTCTAAATTATTTCCAGGATAAACTTCCAAAACCAAGCCAAAAGCAAGTTTAGAGCACTTACTTAAAACATGCAGCACACAAAATAAATATATGCATTCACAACAATACATTACATCGAACATTAGCATCCAGGCTTTTACTTTCATGTTAGTCTTTATTTATTCCCTTATACTTTTTTGGTGTTTTTCTTTACCTCCTCATTATCATAATGTACTGCTATAGAGTCAAAAATACTTTTGGAATATTAGTAAATTGAAAAATAAAGTACCCAAAAGGAACTTAGGCAAAAGAGTACTGTAAGAACATTTCCTAAAAGTCATCTCCACCATAGTCTAAACACTAGTTGATTATTACTATTTTTTGCATCTAACTGATAATCCAATCTTAGCGCATAAATCTCTACTGTGCGATGTGAATACTGCTAGACGACATGTATAGTCAAATCAGTAAAATTTTCCAATTCAAATAAAAATATACAATAAGGATCGAGAAGAACTTACAACGATAATTGATTTCCACTGAACTGCTTGAAGAAAAGCGTAGAAAAATTAAAGATGAAGCAGAGATGAAGATGAAAGGAGACGACAGTCTTCAAAGTGAAGAAAATAGGAGAAATACAATGTTTTAGGGTTTCTTTGACTGGAGGTAATTTTGGTATTATAAAAACTTATAAGGGACAAGAGAGTAATTTTTTTGGTCAAACCAAAATTGCTTTTAAGCCAAAATTGAAAAAGTTGGGGTCAGCCAACTTGTTGCTTTTAGCTTTTTTTAAGCACTTTTTAGCTTTTTAAGCAGCTTTTTTTTTTTTTGCCAAACACTCCAAAAATAAAATCGCATAAAATAAATATTATTAATATGCCATACCAAAAACAAACATAATTTCAAATTACTAAGTTGCTAAAATAAATACGGCTAATAAGTACCATTATTTACATGAGTAAATACTAAAAGAAAAATAAGATTCATTTTATCTAAACTATGGAAAAACTAAAAAATAGATATCCAACACTGTTTTCATTCATAGTACAATTGAATTGAATGTCTTTTAATTTATTAGTATTAGTATGGATTTGATTTTGGTTTAGAATTTATTTGAGTTACTAACATTTATGGACTATAAAACTTATTGGAGCATCCAAAAATTATAAGTTCCAACTTGAAATAATACATTAGAAGATAAAACTATGAAAAAACTTAAGAAATATTTATAAACTACACTACAATAAATATTTTTATGTAGTAAATATATTTAAAACTTCTATACTTATAATGTCGGGTTTGTTTGATTTCGGTTTGACTTTTTTTAGTTAGAACCAAATCAAACCAAACCATAGTCGGGTTTTTTTCTCGGTTTGGCGCGGATTTCCGGGTTGATGCGATTTGTCGATTTCGTTTGTACACCCCTAAATATTACAATAGATTTTTTAAATTGGCAGCATATATAAGTTAATTTCTTAAGTTTTGTATCCCTCAGTATAAAGAATTTATTACACTATCGGGACATCTTTCCTATTATAGCAGAATTTTTTTCTTGTTTCAAAATTAAAAATCTCACATTTTAAGTAGGCTTGCCCATAATTATTTGGGTGACCTAATAGTATAAGAAATTCTTCACATTGACGAGTATTGAACTTAAAACTCTTTTATTATAAATTTAACCTTGATGCCGTTCCATTTACCGACTCTTCAAACCACATGACCAGAATCAATTCTGGAATCCTTCATCACTAATCAATATCTGTTCGAGGGCATCTCATAGTCAAAATGTCGTAGCAATATCATAAAGGAATGGGAAAAAAAAATGAAAATAAATCGCCTCTGGTCGAAGCTCATAATGAAAATTTCGGCCCCGCAAACTTTATCAAGTTCTGCTCTCAGGGGTTATTTTGGTTTGAGGTATAAAAAGATTTGATCTCGGTATAAAATGTCGTATATTACTTATATAATGTTTGGTTTCTATTATAAAATTCTTCCCATAACTAATATAGATGTCTAATAACAAATGCTAATTTCCGAAAGGAATATCGGTCGGAATTCCTCGGAAATTGGCTCGTCGGTAACGTCGCTACCAGATTTTCCATCGAAAATCCCTCCTCGATGAGCCAATTTCCAATGGGACATTCGTCGGAAATTTACGTTTTTGGTAGAACTTATAACTAATACTACACAAATTTTGGTTTCCACCTATCTAAAGACAAAAATGCCTTAAATAAGGCAGTCTTACACAATGCTTCAAGCATTATTCTACAACAATTCATGCATTATTAATATTCACTCTTGTATTATTATTCCCGATCCATGCATGTATTGTAATTACGGCATAGCTAGACGCGCGGGAAACCAAATTAACGACCTCTAAACAACAATAACAACCCAGTAGAATCTCACCGGTGGAGTTTGGGGAGGGTAGAGCGTACGCAGACCTTACCCCTATCTCGGAGGTATAGAGAGACTGTTTCCGTGATTGACGACGACCTTTAAATTATTTGTTTATGAGGTTTGATTAACTTGGACAAGATTGTTTGTATTCATATTTTAGGCTTCAGTTCACTTAATTAAACTACCTATATGAGAACATCACATGAAGTACTAATACTAAGAGAAAAGACTCAATGTAAGGCGGCTTTTAAACAATTCTCACGTTTAACTGTCTCATTCACAAAATTAGACTGACTTGTATTATTTCTTTTATAAGTTCAACTTTTTGCGTATTCAGAAAGATTCTTTAATTTGGCCAACTGGCTACTATAGGGACTCTTTTCTTCCAGTTATATAATCCTTGTCTCTCAAATTCAAGATTTGTAAACCAATTCGTTATCCCTTTCTTCAACTTTAACTTCTATATACTTGAGATTTTATCTCTATATATAGCTAAATAAATGGGTGGTTTACATATACTTATAGCAGTTTTGTTAATTTCTTGTGTTAGTATATTCTTGCCAGAGTTGGCTTCTGCTCAACTCAGGACCAACTATTACGCAAAAACATGTCCTAATGTTGAAAGTATTGTTCGCAATGTCGTTAATCAGAAAATCCAACAAACAATTATCACAGTCCCTGCAGTTCTACGTCTCTTCTTCCATGACTGCTTTGTTGAGGTATATACTGTTCTCTCCTAGCTTGTATTAAAAACTTCGAAATAATTAATGCACACAACTTCAAACTAAAAATGCTTACCATAACTTAGAATATGTAGTGGCCTCCTTATATATATGATGGACAATTCTTTACAATTCATATCATGAGTTTATTTTTGGTGTTGGAGTAATTAGGTCCAACATTAATTTTCTTGACGTGATACTAGAACAAGACACATCTCATTATCGCTTACTAAAGTAATGTCGAACGAAGGAAATTGGATCATCAAGTCACCCATGTAGGTCAACCCCAATCCACTTAAATAAATAAGTAATACTATATATTTGTTATGTATTTAATATTTACAAATAAAAAGGGGGGAAGACGACGTGTAGGACTCTAACAATTAATACCGCTTCTGAAAGATAAAATAAAACGCTCTGATGCTATAAAGGAAAAAAATAATAATTCAAAAACACATAGTTCCCCAATTTTCTTCATAGATTTGTTTCACTAGTGATCAAAGTTATCACATGCCACTGATAAGAACTACATCGAAAAGTTTATAGTCTAAGTCGTAACTGTTATAGAGATTGCTCCAATATTCATAGAAGACCGTTATTACTCTTTTCCGAATATTTCATAGAAAAGTTTTGGAAGGAAGGAGAGAGTTTTGTCTACTATTCTTAAGAAAGAAAACGTTACGACTGAAAGTTAAAAAGAAAAAAAACTATTTAAACAAGATAATTCTTGTTTAAATGACACATCTATTCCCTTAGGTGTGCCTTTTCCTCTCTTTTTTTTTTCTTTTTTCTTTTCACTTAATTTTATTTATTTCTTGGGTGCCCCATATTGTTCATTACATACTCCATTTATATATTGTCCACGGTCCAAATATTCCGTATGACTTTTTAAATGTCCTTACTGATAATGAATAAACTATTATCTTCTTATATGGTTTTGGATAACTTTTTTTAAATAAAGTTAGGCCCAAAGTCCATTATCAAGTTCTTGATAGTAATAGTCTAATACGCTCTTTTTATGTGGATGTAGGGGTGTGATAGTTCTGTGATAATAGCATCTACACCAGGGAACACAGCAGAAAAGGATCACCCAGACAATCTTTCATTGGCTGGAGATGGATTTGACACTGTGGTCAAAGCCAAAGCGGCCATTGACGCAAACCCAATTTGTAAAAATAGAGTCTCTTGTGCTGACATTCTCGCTATAGCCACTCGCGACGTCATTGAGCTCGTTCGTACTAGTACTTTTTAAATTGTTACCTTTCTTTTTATTACACTCACAATTTAAAGGCAATTAATCGATAATAGAATAATAATAGTTGTAATTAACCTACTATAATAAGTTAGACAATACTAATAATGCAAAAATCTTTACATGTAATCAGTATATAACTTAGATCTTTTCTTTTCTTTTTTTTTTTTCCTTTTTTGGCTTAATACATGCTTGATTATATTAAGATTTCTTGGCATAATATAAAATGGAAAAATGACACTGTATAGTCACTCTCAAAATAATAACCGAAAAATATATATATTTTTGTATATATATTTTTGTATGTTATATCCAAAAAATATGTAGTTTGTATACGTTTTGCGGCTACCAAATATAAATAGATGCAGAGTTGGATCTAGGATTTGAAGGTGGTGGGTGCCATAATTTCTTTTAGTGTATACCTTATAATGACTAATAAAAAATTAGTTAGGAATGTTTATTCGATTTTTTAAATAAGAAATCATACCTTAAGTATAACAACACAAGTAAAATCAACATTTTCACTAGTTACATCTTTTTTTTATATTAAAAATAAATTTAAACAAGATAACATGGACATACATCAAGCAGAATAAGAATTTTTAAAAAAATATCTTTAATAGATAAATTATACCCCACATGTACAGAATTAAATAAACTACAAGTTTTTAAAAAAACAAAATCATAAATCTCATATTTTTCAAGCAATTCTTACGAAAATTTTGTCATAATTTAACAGTAAAGAGATTTAAATTATATTTAAAAACTATAGAATAACACAAATTTTTATGATATAAAAAAAAAGATGAATTTTTTTATCTCAATCGAAAATTTCCATTAAGACCCAAATTTTTCGGGTATGAAAGAAGAAAACTCATAAATTTGAGACCGAGAGGAATGCTTATTTTATAGAATTTTATAATTTTGGAGTTTCTTTTTTGAGTGTTCTTGTTAGAGAGCACATATAAATAATAGAATATAAAAAAAGAAAATTACAAAAATAATGAAAAGATAAATAGAAATTTGGGAGGTAGCCAAAAAGGAAAATGATTGGGACAAAAAGAAATAAAAAGCACACGAAAAGGGAAAGTCGGACAAGGTTCAAGATAATTTCCATCTTGAATTTTACACACGAGAAAAGCTTTCAAAAAGATTTATCAGCCATGATACCTTTGTCTAATTTACGACTGTGGGTGGTAGGATCAGATATTTAACCTAATTTAAGAAAATTTCAACATATGTATATAAAATTTTTATCATCTTAGCGGGTGCCATGCCACCCCATTGTAAAGGGGTGGATCCGCACCTGAATAGATGGCGAGCTAAAAGTGATATTTTCCCTAATAATTTTATAAAATGCAGTCTGGTGGACCAAGGTACCAAGTGGAATTGGGAAGGCTAGATGGTTTCACATCAAAAGCTTCAAATGTGGAAGGCAACCTGCCAAAGCCAACTTTCAATTTGGATCAACTCAACTCTATGTTTGCTTCTCATGGTCTAGATCAGACTGACATGATCGCCCTCTCTGGTAATTCAGACTACTTTTTTCGTTTTATTTTATGATTGGACACAAAGTGTTTAAGAAAAAACTTTTGACACTTAACAGCGGCCCATACTCTTGGAGCTTCTCACTGCAACAAGTTTTCGAATCGGATTTACAACTTTAGCCCTAAAAATCCAGTGGACCCAACCCTAAGCAAGACATTTGCAGCCCAATTACAGCAAATGTGTCCCAAGAATGTGGATCCACAGATAGTCATCAATATGGATCCAATCACACCCAATACCTTTGACAATGTTTATTTCCAAAACCTACAAAAAGGAATGGGCCTATTCACCTCAGACCAAGTGTTATTCACAGACAAAAGATCCAAAGGAACTGTTGATTTGTGGGCCAGTAATTCCAAAGTTTTCCAAACAGCATTTGTGAATGCGATGACTAAGTTGGGCCGAGTTGGTGTCAAAAGTGGCAAGAATGGGAATATTCGTAGAGACTGTGGAGCATTTAATTAAGAGGAAAAAAAAAGATGATTGATTTTGCTTGAAGTTTGCATTGCTTGTGAATGATGACAATAAAAGATTGCAAACTAGAATTTAGTTGTTTTTCTAATAAAATGGGACGAAGTTCCTTAATTTGTCCATAGGGTGGGTGAGTTGCAATAATAATATGCTCGAAGTCCAACTTTAAACTAGGGGTATATGGCAAACTTGCATATTTGTAAACATATTGATGGTAAAGGTAAAATTTTATTCCTATTTTAATTAATTGAATATGTTGTTTCGGATAGCATAGTATTTTGAGTCGTTTCACATTTAACTCTCTTTAGAATGGGCATATTGCTATTAGTTCGATGATCCCAATAGGATGTGGTGAACGGAATTAATTATTGTGAACAATAGAGGATAAAATGCAGTAGCCATATGTACAATTCTCATTCTACAAGGTCTACTTTCAGTGTACTCTTTTTTTTACACTCTATCCTGTGACCTTAAAAGTAATTAAACTACGGGAACTACCCGTGATTAGTGAAATTGATTGCTAAAAAGTATGATAAGTAATTTTTTATAGCATGCTAAATTGTTCTACCGACCGTTTTGTCTAGGTTAAACATATGACCAGTTTTTCTTTATTATTTTACAAGTTTGGGTGCTTTTAATTCCAGTACTAAATTCAGTATATATTTGTATGATTTTGCATTTATAGATATATAGTACAACCGGATTTCATCTAATCACTTAAGGCGTTCAACTTTTGTTCCACTGAGATATATAGTAAAACTAACGTTATCTAATATAATGTTCAAATTCATAGCCGAACGCATTAACTAAACTCACTGTTTTGGGTGATTACAACTGTAAAAGACAAAATGTTTCAAATTTAACCTATGTAAAATTGCTATGTGTTTTGCAAATACAAAATCGTAAGATTGTCTCTTTGGGAAACGTCTGTATATTCTATAATATAATACCTAAATTGGAGCATGCATGGCTAATGACTCCTGACGTAAAACTCTATAACAGCCATATATATGCACATCAATTGAGGTAAAGGATAAGAAGTCTACGCGGAGCCAGGAATTAGCATTAAAAGATTAAAAAATACAGGAACTTTTATCTAGATATACAAAGTTATATAAATAATTACGCAGTTTAGTGAGAGAATCTATTTTTTCAAAAAGCAGCAATATTTTTAAAAAATATATATGAATACGGTTAAAATTAGGCCTATCCGATTTTACTATTTGATCGAGACCAGAAGTTGCATCGAGGGTTAGCTTCGTAGTGGAGCAGATCAAAGTGACAAAGACAAGGTACCGAGTTCGAGGTGCCTGTCGAGATCGAGGCCGCCAGCGATCGAGACCAAATATGGCAGACTTCGAGCAAAGCGCAATAACAGAAAAGCAAGATATCCGTGACTGGTCGAAGATCATGGCGAAAATCTCGAAATGGATCAAATCAAAGGCAGTTGTTTAGGCAAATCAAAGGCACCCGGTGACCATTGACTCTACACACCTCATTATTTTTATTCTTCAAGTGCAATGCACCAAAGGGTGTCACACTCACAACCTCAAACGGGCCACTCCATTTAGACTTTAACTTTCTGGGAAACATCCGCAACTGTGAATTGAACAACAACAGAAGATCACCCTCTTTAAACTCTTTGTTCCAAATGTACTTGTCATGAAGATATTTCATCTTCTCTTTGTATAAGGACGAACTTGTGTATGCATGGTACCGGAACTCATCCAACTCATTCAAATGTGCCACCTTAAGTTGGCGGTGACATCCCACTCAAGATTCAACTTCTTTAAAGCCCACATGACTTTGTGCTCAAGTTCCATAAGAAGATAACAAGCTTTCCCGTACACCAACCGGTATGGAGACATTTCGATAGGTATTTTGTAAGCCGTCCTATAAGCCTATAAAGCATTATCAAGTTTCTTTGATCAATCCGTTCGGTTAACATTCACTATTTTGGACAAAATACTCTTTATCTCCCGATTGGAGACTTTCACTTGACCGCTTGCTTGTGGATGATAGGGAGTCGTGACTTTATGAGTGACACCATACTTGATGAGTAAGGTGTCGAAGGCTTTGTTGAAAAAATATGGCATCCCATCGCTTATGATAGCCCATGGAGTACCAAACCTTGTGAAAATATTCTTCTTCAAGAACGCCACCACTTCTCGCTTCATTGTTGGGTAAAGCAACGGCCTCAATCCATTTGGACACATATTAAACCGTGACAAAGATGTAGGTATTTCCATAAGAACTCACAAAAGGACCCATAAAGTCAATACCCCACACATCGAAAATATCAATCTCCAGAATAGTGGTGAGGGGCATTTTATTTTCTTCGAAATTCCATCAGCCCTTTGACATTCATCACAACGTTTGACTAGATCACTTGCATCCTTGTAAGAAGTGGGCCAATAGAAACCGCAACTTAGCACTTTGGTCGCCGTTCTTGCTCTACCATGGTGACCACCATAAGGCGAAGAATGACAAGCCCCAAGAATTTCACTTTGTTCCTCCTCCGGTGCATATCTTCTAATCACTCCATCCGCACAAATTGGAAAAGGTACGGTTCATCCCAATAATAGTCTTGACAATCCCGTTTGAGCTTCTTCCTTTGGTTTGAAGAGAACTCAACCGGAATGATACCACTCACAAGATAATTTGCTAGATATCCGCAAACCAAGGCACCTCTTTAATTGAAATAGCCAAGAGTTGCTCATCGGGGAAGGAGTCATTGATTCAAGGCCATCATGCGGCCTCCCTTCCTCCTCCAAACGAGACAAGTGATCCGCCACTTGGTTTTCACTTCATTTTCAATCTTGAATGTCAATATCAAACTCTTGCAACAAAAGCACCCATCTCATCAACTAGGCTTTGGAATATTTCTTGCTCATAAGATGATGAAGTGCCGCATGATCCGTGTGGGAAATTACTTTTGCACCCATCAAGTACGGGCGGAACTTTTCCATAGCAAACACAATGGCAATGAGCACTTTCTCCATAACGGTGTAGTTGACTTGGCCACTATTCATGGTCTTACTAGCATAGTAGACCGGATGAAAAATCTTGTTGATGCGTTCTCCCAAAACAACCCCTACCTCTACATCGCTTGCATCGCATATGAGCTCAAAAGAAACACTCCAATTTGGAGCGGTGATGATGGGAATAGTAGTCAACTTGAACTTTAGCAATTCAAAAGCTCTCATGCAATCATCATTGCAGTGTAACTTAGCATCTTTCTCCACAATCTTGCACAACGGGTTTACCACTTTAAAGAAATCCTTGATGAAAAGCCGGTAAAACCTCGCGTGGCCTAAGAAACTCCGCACGCCCTTCACCGAAGTTGGAGGTGGAAGTTTAGAAATTGCCTCAATCTTTGCCTTATCGACTTCAATGCCATTCTTTGAGATCTTGTGGCCAAGGACAATGCCTTCCTCAACCATAAATGACATTTCTCCCAATTGAGCACCAAATTTATTTCTTCACATCTTGCCAACACTTTATCCAAGTTGGCGAGACAATCATCTAAGGAATTCCCGACCATCGAGAAGTCATCCATGAAGACTTCAAGGTAATCCTCCACCATGTCCGTGAAGATCGCCATCATGCACCTTTGAAAAGTCTCTGGTTCATTGCACAACCCAAATGGCATCCAATTGAAGGCGAAAGTACTATAAGGACATGTAAAGGTAGTTTTCTCTTGATTTTTCGGAGCAATAAGAATTTGATTATAGCCAGAATACACATCAAGGAAACAATAGAAAACATGACCGACCAATCTATCAAGCATTTGATCTAGCAAGGGAAGTGAAAAATGGTCCTTCCTTGTGACTTTGTTAAGCTTACGATAGTCCATACACAATCTCCACCCAATTACCATTATTGTAGGAATCAACTCATTCTTGTCATTGGTGACCACCGTCATGCCCCTTTTTTTGGGACACATTGAACCGGAGAAGTCCACGAACTATCAGAAATGGGGTAGATAACCCCGACATCCAACCACTTGATGATCTTCTTTTTGACAACCTCTTGCATGGCTTCATTGACTCTCCTTTGATGTTCAATAGATGGTTTGACACCTTTCTCCAAGTTAATCCTGTGCATGAAAAATGTGGGGTTTATCCCCCGAATATCCACCAATGTCCATCCAATAGCCTTCTTCCTCTTTTGTAGCACCGCCAATGTAGAGTCTACCTACACGTTAGTCAAACAAGAGGAAAGAATAATCGGTGAAGTATAAAAAGGGCCAATAAATTCATACCAAATATGTGGAGGCAATGGCTTTAACTCCAAGATAGGAGTCTCTTCAATTGAAGGCTTTGTAGGAGGAGTTGTCCTATTTTCAAAATCCAATGACAATTTGCGGGGTTCATAAGTGTACGACCCCATTCCTTGCAAAGGGTTCATACATTCCACAAAGCCCTCCATCTATTCATCATCAAAGTTGAGCAAGATGGACTCTAATGTATTATCAACATTTATCACAACACTTGTTTCATCCATAATCACATCGGTCACCAAGTCCACGAAAGAGCACACCTCATTGCTATTGGGTTGCTTCGTAGACTTACACACATGAAAAAAAATACTTTTTCATCACATATCCAGAAAGTAAGTTCTCCGGCTTCAACATCAACTAGAGCCTTCCCCGTAGCAAGGAAAGGTCTTCAAAGAATAATCGGTAACTCATAGTCAACCTCACAATCAAGAATGACAAAATCCGCCGGAAGAATGAATTTATCGACATGAACCAAAACATCCTCAATCACTCTCAATGGTCTCTTCATGGTACGATCAACCATTTGTAATCTCATAGATGTGGGTCTTGGTTGCCCAATTCTCAAAGTGTTGAAAACCGAATAGGGCATCAAATTGATACTTTCCCCAAGATCACAAAAAGCTTTAGCAAACTCGGCACTTCTAATGGTACAAGGGATTATGAAAGCACCAGGATCTTCTAAATTGGGAGCCATTGAATGCACAATTGCACTCACTTGATGAGTCATTTTTATAGTTTCACAATTCATCGACCGCTTCTTTGTCACGAAAGCCTTCATAAACTTTGCATAACCGGGCATTTGCTCCAAAGCTTCAACCAATGGCGCATCGATTAATATACTCTTCATCATGTCAATGAAATTTTTGAATTGATTCTTGCCATTTTGCTTGGCAAGCCTTTGAGGGTATGGAGGAGGAGGCTTAGGCAATGGTGCCTTAGCCTTTTGCACTACCAGTTCCGGTATATCGACAATCTGATCCCGAGACGGGTTCACTTCCTCTTGAGTCTCTTCCATATTGTCATCAATATCAATCCGCACTTCATCATTTAC